TCGGGTTTGTCATCTCTCGACTTTTTTTGAGAAGATGAGGAAGGATTTGAAGAATTACCTTGGTAATGTTCTCTGAATCGGGATTTCCTTTGGATTTGTGCTTCGATTGTCATTGCTTTCTTTAGTGTATCTTCAAGGTTTTTATATCCATGGAGATCAAGAATATCAATGATGTTTGAGTTTAAGCCGACGACGAATCTTGACATGGTGTCCTCTTCCTCTTCGGTTATGTTAGCCCTATTGAGTAAGGACTGCATCTCCTTGTAGTAATCTTCAACTGAACTTCGACCTTGTCGAAATCGGTGTAGTCGTTGTTTAACTTCTCATGTATAATGTGTCGGTAGGAATCGGTTCCTCATAGCATGTTTGAGTTTGGTCCAAGAAGTGATTGGTTGAATTTGGAAGTTTTCAATCTTTTTCCTTGTTTTCATCCACCAAGTGTGAGCATATCTTTCGAATTCTAAGGTGATGAGGGAAACTTGTTCAGTTTGGGGGCAGTCATGGTATGCGAACATGAGATCAACTTTTCCTTCTCAATCTATGTACTTGTTCGGATCGTAGTCTCCTTTAAAAGACGGGATCATGAACTTTGGTTTTGCGAAGAGTTCAGGTGCTTGAAAATATGGTTGTGCTCGCCTGGGGGCCAAAAGTTCAGCATTGTTTGGCCTTGGATTCTGATTTGGTAGATCTAGTTGTAGTTTTTTTCGTTCTCTCAAGGCATTGTTAAGTTGATCAAATTGAGTTGTGAGTCATTCAAGTGTGGCTAAGATAGCCGTAAGTGTCTCATTGTTATTGTCACCCATCCTGCAATTATAACACTCAAAAGAAGATTTTAAAGTATAATAAAAATAAAAGAAAAAAAATCAACAAAGCAAGAAACCTCACAAGTAACTCCAAGAAAGTAACACAATGAGAGGAAAGTAAGCCGATCTTGTACTCTTTAAAACTCACTTTACCAAGTAGTCTTCCACAGTTCGTATCGGAGTTTGATTACTAGAAAAGGCAATAAGAAAAACCTAAAAGCTCTTAAGAGGTCAAACAAGGGTTAGACTCCAAGAAAACGAGAATGCAAAAAAGGAAGAAGTATGTAAACTCTTTAGTCCTACTAACTCAAGGAATATAATGTGTTAGATAATGCAAAAAGAACAATAACAAGGAAAAGCAAAAGAACAATAACAAGGAAAAACAAAAAGAACCTAAAGCACTAAGAGTCAAAGAAAAAAGGAACCAAACTAGAAAACCTAGAAAACGTTGGATCAACTTGAGCAACGTTTTTGAGGTGCTTACCGGTGTTCAATAATTTTGGAAAAATTCTTGAATGTATTTCAATACATCAAGAAACCACCTGTAAAATTTCAGAACCAAATATCTTCAGTAGTATCCAGTAGACTGGTGAACGGTGAGTCCTCAAACAATCTATTTTTCTTGATCGCTTTGTTCGAAGGTGTTCTTGATCTCCAAAAATTCTGATTTTTTGTGTGAATGATATTCAATATATGAATTTTCAATCTGGAAATTTTCACCACGAAAATTCCTCCTGTATAATTTTCAAGAAATTCTACAAGATTCTAGACTGAATCTGCCGATGAAACATGAATGATGTATTTGAAGACTTTAATGAACTCTGATTGGGGTTAATTTTGGAGTGGAGATTACTCTTAGGATGAATATGAGATATGGAGAAAATCATCCATAAATTCCTTTGTTTGCTATTTTTTTCAAATTTTGGATTTTTTTTGCCTTTTTTTTATTTTTGAAAAAAATAGCAAACTTACAAGAAGGATTTAAATCTAAATTAAAATTAAATAAAAAGAACCTGAAATGATGAATCTTCTCTGAACTAGCTCCGTTGGGGTACCTTAATAGTTTTGTGTGCAAGAACAAGCAAGATTGCTTGCTTCTTTCCAAGAATCGGCCCAAATCTGATACCAATTGATAGGGAAGCGGTGGTGGAATAATGAACGTTGCTCTTGTTGAAGAATCAAACCTAGAAAAAAGTTGTAGACTCGATGAAGAAAAAGGGGGATGAATAAGGGAATATGGTGATAGTAAGTAGGATTCTTTAGGGTTTCTTTTAGATACTAGAAACAAGGTAAGAAACAAGATTAAAACAAGATAAACAAAAGATAAAGAAATTGAAAATAAATTAAGATAACCAAGAAATCAAAAGATCTCCCTTATGAAGGTGAACAGTAAAGATGATTGATGGTGTGGATGGATATGTGGAAAATCGATAGATAATGTCCTATCGAGCCCTCCTAGTCGCAATGAAAAGGCAAACAAGATAATATGGCTCTAACCAACCCTCCTAGTCGTGATGAAAAGGAAAATTAGAGTGTGAAGATTAATCTCCCTCACAAGAACTTGAAAGAACTCTCGGAGAAGAAGCTTCGAAGGCACAAGGCAAGAAACACTTGCAAAAACGAACTCTTGTTGTATTATTAATCAAAGAAATCTGATTTACAAAGTTGAGTGAAGCCTCCTTTATATAGGGGGTGAGTTCTAAAGGTCCTAAATAACTAATGAATAAAATAATAATAAACTAAACCTATCTAAACTCTAATTCCTAATAAAATAATAACTAAAAATAATGTTTTAACTCAACCTTAATTTCTAATAAAATAATAACTCTAATGCTAAAGATAATGCATCATCCTATATTAAATTATATTACAAATAATCAATATAAATATTGAAAATTCGTAATATTTATAATAATCACGTATTAATCTCGTATAGGAATTTCTGCATGCGTTGTCTTCAGTAAAATGAATGTATATTGAGTTCTCGATATCAGATTGATGCAATTCAAGAAGGAAAGATAAGAGACAGACGGTTGTATCTCTAGAAGACATGTTGACCGGATAACAACTGGATCCCCTTCAAAAGGTTGTTGCAAATCTGCTGCTATTAGACCCTTACCGATGAATGCTTTAACTGCGATTTGAAGCTTGTCTTTAAGAAGTTTGGTACGTCCTCGTGTGATAGGGCCAAGTGGTATAGTAAATTCATCATCATTAGCTTTAGGGCATGTGGTGCATGTATCAGAAAGTCTACATGCGCTTACCTGAGGGTTTTTGCAGTCAATGGGAGTCAAAGGTTTGTAGGTTGCCTTGTATAGACTTAAACAAACTTCACGGTAGTAGAGCATAAAGCTTACTGAAGCACTGGTTCGTGTTGGTTATAGTCAAAGTAAGTATAACTATTCTATATTTACAAAAAGGAAGAACTAACATATAGTCATAATGCTCATTTATGTTGATGATTTGCTAATTACTGGAATCGATGGTTGCTTGATTGATGAGTTGAAAGAAATCCTAAACAATAATTTTAGAATGAAAGATCTTGGAGAATTAAAGTTTTTTCTGGGTTTAGAAGTATTGAGATCAAAAGAGGGTATTGTGGTGAATCAACAAAAACACGCCTTAGAGTTAATAGAGGAGTCTAGTTTAGGTGCAGCGAAGCTAGCTTTGAATCCTTTAGAGTAGAACCAAAATCTTACTACTGTAGTTTTTTATGAAACAACAGAGGGAAGTGATAGAAGCAATGATGTGTTGCTATCTGACAAGGTTGTTTATCAAAGAATCATTGGAAGGTTAATTTATGTAACACATACTAGACCGGATATCACCTACGTTGTGCATCAGTTAAGCCAATTTATGCAGCAACCTAAGAAATCACATATGGGTGCAGCTCTTAGAGTAATAAGATATATCAAGAATAATCCGAGGCAACGAATTTTATTGAGTGCTACTAGCAAGCCTCAACTGTTAGCATATTGTGATTCGGATTGGGCTTCTTGCCCTATGATGAGGAGGTCTGTGACATGCTATTGCAAATTGCTGGGAGATTCTTTGATTTCATGAAAAATCCAAAAAACATAACACCATCGCCAGATCGTCAGCAGAGGCAGAATATAGGAGTATGGTAGTGACTGCTGCTGAAATTATTTGGTTGAGGGACTACTAATGGAACTTAGAGTTGATGAATTACAACCAACAAAATTGTTGTGATAGTAAATCAGCTCTACAAATCATTACTAATCATGTGTTACATGAGAGAACGAAACACATCGAGATAGATTGTCATTTTGTCCTAGAAAAAAATACATGAAGGGTTGATACAAACTGTTCATATCAAATCTGAGGAGCAACCTGTTGATGTGATGGCAAAAGCACTTGGAATACAATAACATCAACATTTGGTTTCTAAGTTGGGGTTTAAAGACATTTTTCAACGTCAAACTTGAGGGGGAGTGTTGAGTTGTAATTATTGTGTTAGTTGAGTTCTTTGTAAAGCAGTTATTTAGTTTAGTGTTTGTTAATCTTTTGTTAGTTGTTAGCTTGTTACTTTCTATATATATATATATATATATATAGATGAAGTGTAAGCTAAGCTATTAATGAAATATAGCAAAAAATTTTCCAAAATTAACAGATCTATAGGTTAGTTCTTTCTTTACTTTAGTTCGTTAATCACACATAAAACAAGTGATTAAGAAACATATTATGTTTTCTTTAATGTGAATGATTATTTTTTCTCTTGTTTTTGTTATGTTAGATGAGATGAGATGATTTGGCTTTGATTTTGATTTTGATAAGAGATAACAAGTGATGGTGGCATCAAATCAGTGGACAGAAATCATAAAGTTGCCCTCGACACTTCTAGGGTCATTGTGGGTCCAAGATCATTGAACCAAATAGTAATGAACATAATCATTGCTGGCAGCCATTTAAGGACAAATCTATGACCAATTTCACGTAATCAAAATTTTATACAATATGATACGAATATGATATAAATATAATTCTTATTGATATTTTAAGCAGACTAGAGATATTTTAAGCTGGATTTTTTCAGTATCTACTCAGAATCTTCTGGTTTTATCATCTTAAGGCTTTGCCAATCCTATGTTTCCATTTTTTGAAAACTATATAAATGCATAACATGGATAGTAAAGCATGTAAACGCTAAAGCAGATGGGCTCACCCTGCACGTGTAATTTCTGTAAAAATTTCTTTGCAGAAAAAAGATCATAAAATCTCCTTTTTGCTTCATCTGGGAGCTGCAGAGAAGAAAATTGCAAGTGAGAGCAGTTTCAATTCTTTGTTGTTTCGACTCTTTCATTTTTTTTTCGAACTGCCGGTGTTGATATCTATGTCCGACATGTTTTTGGACTAGAAAAAACTGAATATAGCCGTATTCGGTTACATGGTTTCTATTGTTTTGCAGGTTAAGGGCTTGAGGGTGAAGTTTCACTAGGAAAGTGAACATGGCCGACTCTCAGGACATCGAGAAAGGATCAAGTGACAGCTTGTTTCAGCCATTTATTCGAAAAGATGAAAGACGGCGAAACTCGGACGATAATGGCAGTTTGTTCATGGTTCTTGTCAGCACATTTGTTGCAGTCATGGGCTCTTTTGAGTTTGGCTCAAGTGTAGGTTTATCTGTTATCCTAGCCTTGGCGTCATGAACCAACAGGCTTCTCGGTTATTGTTTGTCATTGAATTGAACTTTTTTTTCGGGTTTTTCAGATTGGATACTCTTCACCTACACAGCAAGCTATAATGGAGGAACTTGGAATGTCCTCTCAGCAGGTACTTAAAGTTACTCCATCACTTTCGAATGTTACTCGAATTGGAGAATGAGTTTCAGATATAGATATATATGCACTGAAATTTCGAAAAAAATGTTCTCCTTTAGCAGTTTTCAGTATTTGGATCCATACTAACTATCGGTGCAATGGTTGGTTCAATCTCTTGCGGGCGTGCTGCTGATCTGCTTGGCCGAAAAGGGGTATCAAACTTTGCTTTTCTTATTTTCACACGAAGATATGAACTTTAGGATGCGTTTGGACGGGATTATGAGATTACCGGGGAAAGTTTTTTTTCTAGAATCTGATACCTATGTTTGGATTGCAAAAATTGGGGTAATAAGTCATTCTTAACAATGGTATTTTGGGGTTTATTATCGGGAATGTCATTCCCTCAATACCTTAGGTATTAATCTTTTCTCATGACTTTGGATTAAAATGTCCTTAAAACAATATTTTTTTTTCAAAAATATCCTTCTCCTAACCGTTGAATAAAAAATATTATACGACGGATAAATTGTAAATTTATTCTTAAACTATTTTAGATTTACAAAAAAAAGTTCACAATTAAAATTTTATATGAAGTTCAGGGGTTAAAATAAAATTAAACCCTTTCATTAAACTAATTTATCTTTTAAATTTTGGAAAAAATATATAAATTTTATGAATTTTAAATTTTTTAAAGAAAATATACAAATTAAAAATAATAAAATTATATATTTTCTATTATCTTTTATACAAATATTTTATTTGAATATTAGAATTCAACTTGTTTAAAAAACAAATATATAACAAGGATAATTTGGTAAAATATACATTCCAGTAATCTTTTATTCTTTTAACCAAACATTGTAATCTTACATTCATGTCAAACAAACCAAACACAACAATATTATCCTAGTAATGTGTGAGGTAATGTTACATTCCGGTAATCTTATTCCCCGTTCGTGAACCAAACGCACCCTAAAGATCCTTCAAATATATTAAAAACTTTGAAAAATACGAATGTTCCGTGTTTGAGACATGCTTTGAATTCTTTGGTTAAACTTGCTATCTTCATGTGATTGCAGACTATGAAGATGTCATCAATCATCTCCATTGCAGGATGGCTTATAATTTATCTCTCTGGTCTGTTTTTATGTTCGAAATTCTCATTCAATTTCTTTCGCAAATCTCACCTAAATAAGTAGCTGAATGAATGAATTCCTTTTTCTAGGGACCTGTGGCTCTAGATTTGGGAAGATTTTTAACAGGATATGGCATTGGTGTTAATTCCTATGTCGTATTTACCATTTAACTTTTGATAAGCTAATTGAGATTATGTTATTGTGTGTATGTGTATATATATACCTCTTGAACTCCCTGGTTTCATAGGTGCCGGTTTTCATTGCTGAGATATCCCCAACAAACCTTCGAGGGGCTTTATTAACAGTACATCAGGTATCGGAGTTGCTCGAATTCTTCTTTTTTCTCGAAGTATTCGAGTCCGTTACTCGTATCTGGCACGTCCACAACACAGCTTTACGAAATCTATATATTGCCAGGTTGCCATCGCCTCTGGTCTGCTGGTGGCCTATACAGTAGGAGCATTTGTTTCTTGGAGAACAGTGGCTTTAACTGGTAAGTTAGTTTTGTACATTGTGTTCATGGAAAGAAAATTTTCAAATCAGAAACGATACTTTAGTCCTTAAGTTGACGAAAAAATCGATTATTCCGTATGGTTTACTTTAAGTTGATTCTTGGTTGCAGGGATGATTCCATGTGCAGTTATGATTTTGGGGCTTTATTTCATCCCAGAGTCCCCTAGATGGCTGGTAAGATCTGTTGCTTGCCGTAAAAGCTAGACCCTTTATTACTCGTTCCAGTGTAAGTACCGGATACAATTATATATTTGACATACCGGTACCGGTATACAAATGTTTGAATTGAGAATTCGACATGGCTGTCAGAATAAAGGGTCCGAACAACATAGACTATAACTTTTAAATTTTGCACGTTCTGTGATATACAGGCAATGGTTGGCTGCCAAGATGATTTCATTGCTCAACTTCACAAGCTTCGTGGACACAGTGCTGATGTTTCAATAGAAGCTGTTGAAATTCAAGTACTTAATTCACAATTCATCGTATTTTCTCTTTTTAATCCTTACTTTGGGACCCATTTTGAGTTACTTTTATCCCATAGGATTCTTTGACAACTCTTCATCGTCTTCCAAAAGCCAGTGTGTTGGATTTGTTTCGAAAGATAAACTTACGTTTAGTGATTGTAAGTATCGATTTCAGCGTGAAGTTACGATCGTTATTTTACGAAATTCGATCCATTTATGCATTTTCCTTTCATCGAATGGCATACAGATCGGAGTTGGACTGATGGTGTTCCAACAGTTCTCTGGCTACAATGGAGTAGTTTACTATGCAAACCAAATTTTTACATCCGCAGGTAATCTTATTCATTTAAATTTCAATATACAAAGAGTTCGTGGGTCAAATTCGAATACTTGCGATTATCACATTTACTTTTCTGTTTGCATAACATGTTCTTTGTGTGTCTCATTTCAGGAGTTCCTCCAAATGTTGGAAGCATTCTCTATGCATGTTTACAGATAATTGTTCTTTCACTTGGTGCTGTCATAATCGATAGAGTTGGAAGAAGACCTCTTTTGATGGTACCCAAAGCACTAATTGTTACAGTATCCATTTCCAAAATTTTAAAATAATCTTTATATATATCATATTGAAATGTTCATTTCTTTTTCAGATTTCTGCAAGCGGAATGCTCCTTGGCAGTCTACTTACTGGAGCCGCCTTCTATTTGAAGGTATTTTTAAAAAAAAAACTAAAGCCATAGTTATTTGGACTCGTAGAGCGTTTGATACAAATACGTGTCTTTGATATATACATACTCGATTTTTATAAAGTTGGAAATAAATTATAATATTATTTAATGTATTTTCTTCACCAGGAACATCAACTGGCTTCTGATTGGGGTCCAATGTTCACAATAATTGGCATCATGGTAAACTAACTATAACTAAACCCTTAATCTTATTTCACACTCCTAACTTGAATTTGCTTTCATATCAGTTAATGGTGTCAATTTTGCAGATATATATGGGTTCTTATTGTCTTGGATTGGGTGGAATTCCATGGATCGTAATGTCTGAGGTAAAAAATATGTAACTTATTAATCGATGAATTTAAATTCAGATATAAATTATAATTAAGTTAGAGATTTTGTTGCAGATATTCCCTCTCCACATCAAAGGAATGGCTGGCAGCCTGGTCACATTGGTCAGCTGGGGTGGTACTTGGGTTGTTTCCTACACTTTCAGCTCTCTCATGACCTGGACCTCCCACGGTAATTGAATATTGGATATTATTTCCTACTGAACTTTTTTATATCCGGCAAATATTATTAACCAGTCTTGATACCATTTTAGGCACATTTTTGGTGTTCGCCACCTTCTGTGCTGCAGCTATTGTGTTCATCTTCAACCTGGTACCGGAGACAAAAGGCCGTACCTTGGAAGAAATTCAGGCTTCTATGGGTTATTCCATTGAATAAAAACTAAGATCGAATCAAATCCACTTGTCTAGATTACTTTGTCTATTCCAACGAATTTAGAAGAACTATATGCTTCTTTTTATCATGTCCACGTATTTATGATATATATTTGTCTATCTCAATTTTATTTATAATTAATTAGGTTTTAAGACATTTTCTTTACATAAAAACGGTAAAATCATCCCTTGAACGAGAAATTAGGTGCCAGGATATGGTCTGCTCTTACAAACGGGGGACATAACAATGGTGATTTATTGAAAAATCATCATTATCATAATTCAATTGTAATTTTTTCCGATGATCGTAATAACTTTTAAAACAGAGACACGTCAATAGAATAAATAAATAAACACTTAGTGAATACGAATAGACAACGTTAAATCTAATCATTAAAAAAAACTAATATTCCATACTTTTTAATATGAATTTTTTAACACAAACTAATTATTTTAATGTTAAAAATAATAGATTGAAATTTGGCGTATATATAATAAAAGTACTATTATTTAATATATCTTCATCGAAGAAAAACAATTTTACAAACGATCTTAAGATAACACAAGTATTATTAAAGAATTTTAGATTTATTTATTGGGTAAACTATGTGGATAGTCTCCTATGTTTAGAGTCTGGCCTACTTTGGTCACTAATTTAAAAATTAAGGGGAAATAGTCCTTAACGTTATCGATTCGTTCGATTTTAGTCCCTTAGCCATTAATTTTTGTTAACACCCTTTTGTTTAAGTCCCTAACATGGTTGAAATTGAACGAGAGTTAACGGTTGAGGGATTAAAATCGAATGAATCGAAAATGTAAGGGACTAAAATCATGTGGATCGATAATGTTAGAGACCCTTCTTTCTTAATTTTTAAATTGGTGACCAAAGTAGGCCAGACCGAAAACATAAGGGACTATCTACATAGTTTACCCTTATTTATTTTATATAAAATTATTTAAAAACACTTATTAGTTTATGCTTGTAAATTAATATTCATTTTATTTTTAGCACGTTAAACATAAAATGAGACTTCTACTAATTAAATTTTTAAAGTGATCAATTCGATCGTACTAAAGATTTCAAAGATTAATAATATTACAAAACAAATATATAATTATATTAAAAGTTATATAACATGAAAATTTCAATAAATGTAGAAACCTTAAAATATTGAAGAGATGGACAAAATATACGAATATAGATAGGGGTGTTCAAACGGTTAATTCGGCCATCGACCAAACTGAATTTCTATTAATCGAATTTTTTTCTTTAACCATTAATCGAATCGAAAAAAGTTCGGTTATTTTAGCCGGTTAACCGAATTAACCAAATTTTTTTATAATTTATGTAATTAGATTAATTTGAATATAATAACAATATTTTTTATTTGGGTTAAAATTTTAATTAGGTATTGATAATTTAATGAGTTTAGTGTGGTTAAAAAATAAACGAGTCTTAATTCTTAATGAGTATGAGCTTAAAATATGGATTTAATATATATAATATATTTCATATTTAATAATTTCAGTTAATTTGGTTAATTCAGTTAATTAATTGATTTCGAACCGAATTAACCGTTAATCGAATATTAAAAAAATATTAACTATTTTCTGACCGAACTAATTTGGTGGCCAACCGAATTAACCGAACTAATTCGATTCGATCGGTTAATCCGATTAAAACCAAAAAATGAACACCCTAAATAGAGAGTCATTAAGAATGGAATGGGCCAAAATCGATCTATTACACGTACACGTGACTACCATATTGGGAATGGGTACCTAAAGACAAAACAAATGGCAGGTTATGGGCTCCCTCTATCTTTTTACCATTCACTCACACAAAACCTCAACCCTAAATTTAAAACATATAATATTAAATAAATTAATTTATATAAATTAAAAGTGATATGTTTTAATATTAAATAAATTAATTTATATAAATTAAAAGTTATATGTTTTAACAACGAAATTAGTTTAAGTGGTAAGTAGTTTGATATCATTTAAGCATGCCTTGTGTTTATGTCATTGTATATGTAGAAAACTCTCGTTGGGAAGCTCACCCATTAAAATCTTGTGTGCGACGTAAATCGGAAAAAAGAAGTCATAAGTTTTATTATAGAATAATTGAATTTTTATTTTTTTTCAATGGTTTATAATAAATAATCACAAGATTCTTTCATCAAATATTATTTTAATTTTAAGTAGTTAGATTAAAACAATGAAGTGGTGGTATATTACTACACAATTGATAAATGAGTTTCAAGAGGGAAGCCAGCTACTTAAAAAAGTCATCTTTTACCAACTAGAATAACCAACATTATCCATGAACAATAATTCCAAGTCTCTAGAGTCTACTAATGGATTCTTTTACACAATTATTTTACTGGGAAGCAACGAGATCCAATATAAAAAGCAGGTTTGTTCATTGAATGATGACAAAAGTCCACACCCAAAGAAGGAATCGAATCGATTCAATAATGATCATATAAACAAATATAGAAAGCCAATGATGGCATAACTTTTAACTGTGATCTTGTTTTGGGAAACCCCAATTGCTTTAATTTATGTTATCATGGTGGTCCCTGCTATTCCGGTTATGGTAAATTCCTGCAAGCTTTTCAAGGCGGTTGTCCACTTCTTTTTCTGGATTTACTTTCTCAGCTCTTCTGAAAACCTGCTCTTCTTCACTTCATCACTTTGATCACAGATAGCAGTTTTACTTTTCTTTTCCTCTGCTCTTATCAATTAGAGAAAGGTTAGTCTCTTTGTTAAGTTATCGATATTTAGGTCTGTGTTAAATGATGTGCTATGTAGATTGTTGTTTTAGTAACTGCAAATCTCCAACTCTGGATATTGATCATATGTTTTGTTATCGATGATAAAGAATATCATTTCTATGTCTCTGAAATTTAATAATGTTCTTACAAAAATGAAGAGAAATCATCGAGTTCTTGCTCGATGTTCTTTGCAACCGTGCCAATACTTGTTTTCACTTTCCATGATTCGTAATGTTTTCTTTTTCTATTGACGGGCAGGTGAGAATGTCTTCATCAAGGCAAAGCCATTCATCAAGCAACACAGGGAGATCCAGGCACAGTGCTCGCATCATTGCTCAAACGACCGTAGATGCAAAACTCCATGCAGATTTCGAGGAGTCTGGCGTATCATTCGATTATTCGAATTCGGTGCGTGTAAATGGAGATCAGCAACCGAGGTCCAGTATCGTTACCACGGCTTATCTCCATAACATTCAGAAAGGCAAGTTTACCCAGCCCTTTGGGTGCTTGCTAGCTTTAGATGAGAACACTTACAAGGTCATAGCATACAGTGAGAATGCCCCTGAGATGTTGACCATGGTTAGCCATGCAGTCCCAAGTGTTGGGGACCATCCGGTTCTCGGCATTGGAACTGACATAAGAACCATTTTCACTGCCCCTAGTTCATCTGCATTGCTAAAGGCCCTAGGAATCGGGGAGGTTTCTCTTTTGAATCCGATCTTAGTCCACTGCAAGACTTCCGGGAAGCCCTTTTATGCTATTATCCATCGGGTAACAGGGGGTTTGATCATTGATTTCGAGCCGGTCAAGCCCTCTGAAGTCCCCATGACCGCAGCCGGAGCCTTGCAGTCATACAAGCTCGCAGCAAAGGCAATCACACGGTTGCAGTCGCTGCCTAGTGGGAGCATGGAAAGGCTTTGTGATACGATGGTGCAGGAGGTTTTCGAACTCACCAGTTATGACAGGGTGATGACTTATAAATTCCATGATGACGACCATGGTGAAGTGATATCTGAGGTAACAAAACCAGGCTTGGAGCCTTATTTAGGCTTGCATTATCCGGCCGCGGATATCCCCCAGGCCGCTCGATTCTTATTCATGAAGAATAAAGTCCGTATGATCGTTGATTGTAGAGCCAAACATGTGAAAGTATTTCAAGATGATAAGCTTCCTATTGACCTGACCTTGTGTGGTTCAACCCTAAGGGCACCCCACAGCTGCCATTTACAGTACATGGAAAACATGAATTCCATCGCTTCTTTGGTCATGGCTGTCATTGTCAATGATGGAGAAGAAGGTAATGACACCGGTTCCGAGCAGCAGCCACAACAAAAGAGAAAGAGATTATGGGGTTTAGTAGTATGCCATAACACCACTCCAAGGTTTGTTCCATTTCCACTCAGGTATGCCTGTGAGTTTCTAGCTCAAGTTTTCGCCGTCCATGTCAATAAGGAATTAGAGCTCGAAAGCCAAATCGTCGAGAAGAACATACTGCGCACACAGACCCTTTTATGTGACATGCTTATGAGGGATGCACCCCTGGGGATTGTATCACAGAGTCCAAATATAATGGATTTGGTGAAATGTGATGGGGCTGCCTTATTATACAAGGGAAAGATATGGAAACTAGGAGTAACCCCAAGTGATTCCCAACTGAATGAGATAGCGTCATGGCTTTCTGAATATCATATGGATTCCACAGGTCTGAGTACCGATAGCTTGTACGATGCCGGGTTTCCAGGGGCTTTGGCTCTTGGTGTAGTATGCGGAATGGCTGCTGTGAGGATAACCCCCAAAGACATGCTTTTCTGGTTCCGGTCCCATACGGCAGCCGAAATTCGATGGGGTGGTGCAAAGCATGAACCTGGATTGAAAGACGACGACCGAAAGATGCACCCGAGGTCATCATTCAAGGCTTTCCTTGAAGTTGTCAAGAAAAGGAGTCTGCCATGGAAGGACTATGAAATGGATGCCATCCATTCTTTGCAGCTTATTCTAAGGAATGCGTTCAGAGATGTCGAGACCACGGATACAAACGCCAATGCCATACATTCCAAGTTGAATGACCTCAAACTAGAAGGGATGCAAGAGCTGGAAGCAGTGACGAGTGAGATGGTGCGTTTGATCGAAACAGCAACAGTCCCGATTTTGGCAGTTGATGTTGATGGGCTGATCAATGGTTGGAATATGAAAATCGCAGAGTTGACTGGCCTTTCTGTTGATAATGCAATTGAAAAGCATTTACTCGCACTTGTTGAAGATTCTTC